TAATAGTGTTGGTTCTGGGGCTTTGATTTGTTCTTGCATTTGAGCCCTTTTTTTGGTCTGATCACCCCTGTTACATATGAGGGGTGGGGCATTACATGTTCACCAGGGCAGGTGACCTAGTTGCTAGGTTGTGACATTGTATGTGGCGGTGAGGTCAGAGAAGGAGCAATGGCACTTGCTCCGCTCGCTCTCTCTCAGATTTTGGTCCCTTTTGCTGCTTCCCGCAAGCAAACTGGGCCCTTCTGGTGCTGGTTCCCAGGTAGGTGGGCTTGTGTGCATTCTAGGACCCTTTGGGTCTCTCCAGTGAACTCTCCTGTGAGACTGAGAGTCTCTCCCGGTAGTCAACCCCCGAAGTGTTTTCAGTTGGTGCTTTTAGACTTCATTTTCCAGCACTGGGGCCCTGGGTTCCGAGGTCTGTCTCACTGCCTGTTTTCACCTGGTTTATCTGGGTGCGAATGTGTGACCGTGGTCCAGACCGCCTTGAGCACCTCACTGGGTCTGCTTGTTGCCTCCCCACATCCGGTGTCTGCTAGCCACTGCCTGCACACCCCAGTTCTGCCAACTGCCACTTTTTCCTGCCAGGACCCCTCTTTGCTGGCCACCAACTCCGCCCCTTACTGGTCTGGATGAATGCTTGTCAGACTTCTGTACAGTTCAATTTGTAAAGATTCCACAGAAAAGCTATTAGAACGATAAATGAATTTAGTAAAATAGAGGAATACAAAATTAATTTTCAGAAATTGGTTGCATTTTTATACACTAATAATGAACTTTCACAGAGATTAATAAAACAGTCCTATTTACAATTGCATCATAAAGAATAAAATTCCTAGGAATATATTTAACTAAAGAGATAAAGACCGCTACTTAAAAAATGACATTGAAGAAGATACAAATAAAGGTAATTATGTACTCTGCTCATAGACAGGAAGAACTGACATCGTTAAAATGTCCATCTTACCCAAAGCAAGCAACAGATTAAATGTAATCAGTATCGAAATACCAATGGCCTCTTTCACAGAACTAGAACAAACAAACCTAAAATTTATATGGAACTACAAAAGGCCTTAAATAGCAAAAGCAACATTGAAGAAGAAGAACAAAGTTCAGAGGGATCATGCTACCTGATATCAAACTATACTACAAGGCTATAGTAATCAAAACAGTATGTTACCTGCATAAAATAAGACATATAGGTCAATGGAACAGGACAAAGAGTCCAGAAATAAACTCACAAATGAAGCAAGAATAAACAGTGGAATAAAGACAGTCTCTTCAATAAATGTTGTTGGGCAAACTAGACAGATACATCTAGAAAGAAAAAAGAAAGAAACTAGACCACTTTCTCACACCATATACAAAAGTAAATTCAAAAGAGGTTGAAGACAAATGTAAGACCTGAACCCATAAAACTCCTACAAGAAAACATAGGCAGTAAACTCTGTGACATCGCTCTTCATGAGATCTTTTTGGATATGTCTGCTCAGGCAAGGGAAACAAAAGAAAAAAGTAAACAAATGGGACTATATCAAACTAAAAGGTCTGCACAGTGAAGGACCATCAACAAAATGAAAAGGCTACTACTGAATGGGAGAAGATATTTGCCAATGAGACATCCAATAAAGGGTTAACATCCAAAATATATAAGGAACTCACACAACACTCAAAAAATTTTTGACTTAAAACAATTTTTTTGAGTTAAAAAAGGGCAGTGGACCTGAGTAGACATTTCTTCAAAAAGGACATGTAGATGGCTAACGGGCAAGCGGAAGGATGATCAGCATCACTAATCATCGGGGGAATGCAAATGAAAACCACACTGAGATACCACCTCACACCTGTCAGAATGGCTGTCAGGAATAAGTCAACAAACAGTAAGTGTTGGTGAGGGTGTGGGGGAAAGAGCCCTAACGCATTGGTGGTGAGATTGTAAATCAGTGCAGCCATTATGGAAAACAGTATGGAAGGTCCTCAAAAAATTAAAAATAGAACAGCCATAGGACCCAGCAATTCCATTTCTGGGTACTTATCTGAGAAAGACAAAAATCCTAATTCAAAAAATACATGTACCCTTTTGTTCGTTGCACCATTATGTACAATAGCCAAGATATGGAAGCAACCTAAGTGTCCATCCATAGATGAGTAGATAGAAAAGACATGTTGCATATATACAATGGAATATTACTCAGCCAAAAAAAATAAAAAGAATGAAACCTTGCCATTTGTAACAACATAGATGGACTTAGAGGGTATTATGCTAAGTGACATAAGTCAGGAAGATTTCACTTATATGATTTCCCTTACATGTGGAATCTAAAAAACAAAATCAATCAACAAACAAAACAGAAGTTACAGAGAACAACTGACAGTGCCCAGAAGGGCAGGGAGATGGGGAGACTCATAACAAATGTGAAAGGGATTAAGAAGTCCAAATTGCCAGTTACAAAAGTCATAGGGGTGTAAAGTACAGCATAGGGAACATAGTCAACAATATAACTATGTGTGGTGCCAGGTGGGCACTAGATTTATTGGGCCAATAACTTCATGAACTATATAAATGTCTAATTACTATGTTGTACACTTATGCATATAAATGTACAATATAATATTGTATGCCAACTGACATAAAAATAAAAATAAAATTATACAGACACACATTGCATTATGATTACTTTAACCGTTAATTTTGTGTCAACCAGACTTGGCTAAGGGATGTCCAGACAGCCGATAAAATAATATTTCTAGCCTGGCTGGTGTGGCTTAGTGGACTGGGTGCACGGCTGTGAACCAGAGAACCATGGATTCGGTTCCCGGTCAGGGCACATGTCTGGGTTGTGGGCCGGGTGCTCAGTAGGGGCATGCGACAGGCAACCATACATTGATGTTTCTCTGCTCTTCCTCTTTCCTTGCCCCTCTAAGAATAAATAAATAAAATCTTTTTAAAAATTAAAAAAAAAATTATTTCTAGGTGTGTCTGTGAATTCACTTCTGGAAGTGATCAGCCTTTGAGTGTGTAGACCAAGTAAGAATATATGAGACATGGGCAGGTGTCATGCAATCCAATCAGTGGAGGGTCCAAACAAAAGAAAATGGTCGAGAAAGGGCAAATTCTCCCTTTCTTCTTCAGTTGGGGCATCTCTCTCTCTCCCGTCCTTGACATCGGAGACTTGGTTCTCAGACCTCTGACTGGGACTGAATAACACCACTGGTTTTCCCAGGTCTCCATCTTGTAGGTAGCAGGCTGTGGGACTTCACAGCCTCCACAATTGAATAAGCCAATTCCCATTATAAATCTCCACTTATATAATTCTACGTATTCTATTTGTTCTACTTATCTGGATAAACATGGATGGATACACATTACTGACATCAAAAATAAAGGTTGTTTTACTAGCAAAAAATGGATTCATTGGGGAATAGAGAATTGCAATTCAAGATACGTGAGCTGTGACAAAACCAAAGTCTAGAGAACAAGGAAGAGGAACTTTCTGGTGGGAAGGAAAGGGGAAGTTGGGAGAAGGTGTTCTAAATCTGGGGTCACCAAACCCTTGGCCACAGACCAGTACCAGTGCACAGTCTGCTAGGAACCCAGTGCACAGCAGGAGGTGAGCGGCAGAGCTTTAATGGCATTACCACCCGAGCTCTACCTCCTGTCTCCCCCCTCACCTCCGCCCCGCCTGCCATCGGTGGAAAAATTGTCTTCCACAAAACTGTTCCGCATGCCAAAAAGTTTGGGGACCACAGTAACAGAGTCCATTGGAGAAAACTGGGAGTTCAAAGTCTAGTGGCTTTTCATTGGCTGGGCAGTTACTGGGGTAGGAGAAAATCCTCCTGCTGGGCTGGAAAACATCTTCCTGTTGAAGAAGCAGGGCATATCTCTACCTGGTTGGGACAACCAGTGATGGGTGGTGGGGTGTGAGAGTTCCCCTAGAGGCCCTCCAGACTCCAATTTTAGTTGAGGTCTCCTTTATTAATTTTAACAATTTCGTGCCTTTCCTCATGTTGTACCTTAGCCTAGCCCGTCTTTTCCTCTTCTTGAGCTCCCCCCTTTAACCTTGGCCCAGCTAACACCTGCGTCCTGCAGGGGGCCTTCCCAGGCTGCCGCAGCCCACACCAACCCCTAGTGTTTGAGTTGGTGTTAGGCTTGGGTGTCATGGATTATTTATTTCTTTGTCCCCCAAATGACTTAGACCTGATTTTCTCTGCTAGGCAAGCTATAAAGTTCTCTGGATCAGGACAGGTCTTAATACACCTTGCATTACATGTAACTTATTTCCCTGTACGGCACATAGCGGAGGGGTTAATAGTTGTTCACTGGCTTCAATAACTGGAGCCACTTACCTGCACCCTCTCCCTACACTGTTTGGAACGTCAAGGGGGCCTCTCACACAGAGGCAAGGAATAATGCGTCCTCCGGCTAGGGACTGAAGGAGATTGCCCTTACCTTCAGTCTGGCTTTGTCCTCAACTCTGCAGGTCCTTAAATTTGATTTTACTAGCTCACCCTGAAACAAGCTCAAGACAAACTACTCCAAAACAATGAATAATGAGAGATCGATCTGTATTCCAGAAATTGGGTGCCCACCTTTGCTTAGAAGCCCTTCTGGAAGCCTTCCAGGCCTCGCAGGTGTGCGCTAGTAGAGCCCAAGGTCCCAGCCAGTCCCTCGCAGCCCTACTCTGCTCTGTTAGCACAAGGACCAGAGCAGCTCAAGCGCCCCCTGGGCCGGCCCAGGGCGGGACACTCCGCATACGTCTGTCCCGCAAGCGCTCACCACCTAGAACGCCTTTGGGAGGCCCAGCTCCTCCGGGCCACCCCCTGCGCCTCCCCCACCCGCACCTGCTTTCCCTCCACCCCCACCCCGACCCCCGACCCCCGACCCCCGGCCCCTGACCCCCGGCAGCACGGAGCCAGCCCCATGGCCTGGCCCCCCGGCCTGGGCCGGCAGGGTGGGCGGCGCGCGTGGCAGGGCGGCCGCCATCTTGCCCCACAGGAACCTCACCATGGCGCCCGGGCTCCTGAGCGCGGCGCTGCTGTTCGTGGGGGGCGCTGTCCTGTACACAGAGCAGCCCTCGTTCTCAGAAAGGGAGCCCTCACGGGCGCAGGCTGCAGATGCCGGGTGGCTGGAGGCCAGGCGTGGGGGGCTCAGGCCGCAGCGGGGGCACTCCGTGCAGGAGCAGAAGAGGCCGGACGCAAAGGGCAGTATCCGTTCATTCCTTTCCTCGGACCACAGCCTCCCCTGCCTGTCCCCCGCTTCTAGATGTCTGATGCTGAGTCCCTCCTTTTCCGTTGTTCCAACTGCCTTTAAAAATTTACAGACCTAAGCAGTCCAGTTATAACGATGGCAGTAGCAGTACCAACAGTAAAAATGCCACACATTTGTGTAGTGCATCTAAATATGCGCCTCAAGACCCGCTGGGGCCTGTAATTCCCATTTTACAAACTAATAGTTCACTGGACTTCAGAGTTGAACTAGGGCTATGGGAGACCTTTTTCTACTGCAGTGGAGAAAAATTAACCCAGCAAGTTAAATGGCGAGTATTGAAACTTGTAGCTCTTGATTCACCAGTTCCAGGTTCTTAAATTGCCATTTCACATGGGAAAGAACATAAAACCCGGCCAGAGAAACATTTCATTTTTATACTTCTGGGGAATAGTTTTAAAATTAATGAATTACACTGATGTATTTCTATTTGCAAGCAAGCAATGAAGGCATGTTTATCTTAACTCTCTTTTTTCCTCTCTCAAAATAGCGGCGTGCCGTAAGTATCCGTTTTTAAAATAGGAATTTAAAAGACTATATTAATGTATTAACATTAGGAAGTAATACACATTATCAGATGTTCCGTCTAAATAACATATGTTTTGTTTTTAGATTGCGGAAGGGCACCACTTGCGGATATGTTGAAAGGGTCTCGGATTATCGGGGGCACGGACGCGCAGGTTGGCGCGTGGCCGTGGGTAGTCAGCCTGCAGATTCAGTCGGGGAGAATCCTTACTCATGTGTGTGGGGGGAGCCTAGTGAAAGACGGTTGGGTCCTCACGGCTGCCCACTGCACCAGGGACACTAGGTTTGTATTCAGAACCCGACTACTGTATTCTCTCAAGGCGTATTTTAAAGTGCTGGCGAAACATCTGTCTTTCGTCATGTTCGTTGTGCTGTATGTTTGTAAGGGCCCATTATGCCTTATATGTGCTACACTTAATATCTTTTTAAAATGAATCCTTTTAAGTCAGAGGTCAACAAACACTTTCTGTGAAGACATTTTATGTAAATATCCTAGGCCTCGTGGACCGTGTGGTCTCTGCCACAAGCGGTCAGCGCTGCGACTATGGAACCAAAGTGGTCACAGACAATACATAATTAAATGAGTGTGCTGTGATCCAATAAAACTTTATTTATGAACACTGAAATTTGAACAAAATACTATTTTGTCACAAAATACCATTTACAAGTGCAAAACAACATTCTTTATTAGCTGTGTGAGGCACAGCGCTAATAGTGGGAGGCAGGCCAGATTTGCCTGTGGCTTGAAGTTTGTTGGACTTGGCTTTAAATGATGAAACTTTCTTATAGCTTTTAGAGTTATTGTATTGTAACCATGTCTTTGTCTTTCTCGCCATTAGATCATGAGTTATTTGAAGACAAGGACTATATGTTTTATTTTGTATTCCTGACACTAATATAGGACTTGGCCTACTTTATAGGAGACAATAAATGTTGATTGAAGTACAGATGACATTGATCTTGGGGTAACAGGACTTACCGCAGTTAGACTAGAACTTCACGACCCTCCTAACCGTTTAATATGAAGCGCTAACATAAATCCTCTGGAAACCACGGTACCTATCGTACAGTCTCCCTTCAGTCTTTAATTTTTAAGACAACAGCTGTCTTAGAGAAGAATGAAAAATCTAAGAGGAACTCACAACTTCAAAATTCAGTTGAGGGCAACTGGCCTGATTGCGTAGGTTTTGATAGGTTTACTCTATTTTTAAAACATTGATTTCAGTTCAATTGGTCTTTGGGGAGCAGAGATTAGAAAAATAAGCAGATACTAAAGTATAAATCAAGGGTACAGAAAGAGGTGTAGAAAAAAGTTTCATAGTTAGGAATCAATTCTTTCAGGTGTGGGTGTTTTACAATTGTTTTCTAACATGCTGTCTTTAAAAACTGCTTTTCTCCAGCTTTCAAACCTTAAACCAAGGGGGAAAGGCCTGCTTGGTATGGTTTGAAAATTCCTGGAAAAGCTCTTCTTGCTTAGAGTCCTCACGTTGTGCCGCATGGCAGCGAGGTCTGTATCCTAGTCCTCTGACACTGTGTGGCCCAGTGACTTTAAGATTCCAAAACTTATTAGATGTAGGACCTTGGTCAAATGATACAGCTTTGTTATATTGTCAGAGAATCCTAGAGTTCAAAGGGCCATTTTAATATAGAGTTTTTTCCTCTGTCCTATAAAGAAATCCTTCTTACAATACTAAAGTAAAGGGTTCTCCAGTCTGACATAATCACCACCTCGCCCCTGCTCAGTGTGGCTCAGTTGGTTGGAGCGTCATCCAGTAGCCAAAAGGTTGTGGGTTCAACTCCTGGCCAGAGCACGTGTTTGGGTTGCAGGTTCAGTCTCCCGTCCAGGCACATATGATCCCCAGTACAGGTGCACCAGAGCCAGGGGGCGCAACCGATCGATGCTTTTCTCTCAAATTGATGTTTCTCTCTCTCCCTTCCTCTCTCTAAAAGCAATGAAAAATTGTCCTCGGGTGAGGATAAAAAAAAATGATTGCTTCAATGTACTGAGCCGGGCATTTTCTCATACGTAATTTCCACTAATCTTTACAGCCACTCTTTGCTTGTAGGGAGACCCAGAGACTAAATGCCTTGCTCATGGTTCCAGGGCTGGAAAGCAACAAAATCAGGGATCAAATCTGGGTGTGTCACAGTGAAAACCCACCCACATCACCACAACCACACAGTTGCTCTCTGCCTGACACACTCCTGTGCCGAGGGACAGTGGGAGGCTCTCATTTCAATCCCCGACAGCTGCAATTCCTAGAAAGCTTTTCCTTATGTTGGACTAGTGGTTTTCTGTCTTCTGAAACCTCATTCCTCCTCCAAGCATCTGAAGATAACATTCATATTCCACTTAATATGTCCAAAGACTCAATCTTGATGTTTTTACCCCTTTACTCAACAAACATTTACTGAATATAATAGGAACTGGGCCAGGTTCTAAGAAAGTAGACATTACTGAGCACAGCCCTGCTTTTCCAGTTTCTTCCCATCTCAGAGGACTAATGACACCCCCTTCTGTTCCTCATTTCCCTTATTTCCTGAACCCCATGCCACTAATTACCCCTTATTCCCTCTTAGAACAACCACTTACCAAAGACCTGCTTTGACATTAGATACTGTCTAAGGACATTACATATGATTCGGTATTTAAAATCCCTTGCACTGATCCTCTGAGATAGCCATTAATATCTCCACTTTATACTTAAGGAATCCAGAAATCAGAGAGTTGGTACCTTGTCCAAGATCACGCTGCTGTTAAGTGGCAGCCCATGGATTTAAACCCAGGTCTCAGAAACTGTACTGTTTCATTGTATCTCATTGTCTCTGAAGTATTTTTCAATTTCTTCCTGTTTATTCCTACAGCCTTCAGACATGCTTGGGTCACCTCACTGTTATTTATAAACAAACAACAAAACGCACCTGTTTCTGTCCTTCCCTTCACTCTTAGACTCCTCGAAAGAGAGGTGCCCTTCTGCTTCATCTGCGCTGACTCATAAAATCCCAACTGCAGTCTGGTTCTGTGTCTAAAACACAGTCTGCCTTAACATCCGCCTCCATGCCAAACCCAACGACCTGCTCAGTCCCCCCCCCACTCCCATTTGGTCTCTGACACTCAACAGAGTTAATTGCTGCTCTCACAACTATCTTTCCTCTCAGTCCCTAAGACACCACTATACCTTTCTTTCCTTTTCTCCACTTCCTTAGTAAGTCTTTCTCATCCTTTAAACAGCAATACTATTTTCTAGAGTCCCACCTTCTGTCCCCTGGCCTTACGAGAGATCTCATCCACTTCCGTTTCTGCCATCACCAGGCACGGCAGTTCCCAGGTCTCCCCAGCTGAGTCGTACTTCCGGCTGCCCACCACATGTCTACATCTGAGTCGCACTCTCGGCAGGTCCAAAAATTTAAGAATTTTTAAGTTTTCATTTTTTTAATTTATTGGGGAGACATTAATAAACCTACATAGGTTTCAAGTGCACGCTTCTACGGTACATGCTCTGTGTATAGCATCGAGTGCCCTCCGCCCAAAGTCAAACACCTGCCTGTCGCCACATGTTAGCATCTGACCCCCACCCTTTCCTGCCCACCCACCCCCTTCCCTCCGGTAACTGCCACGGTGGTCTGTGTCTGCGTTTTTGTTTCATTTTTCTTGTTTGTTCATTAGTTGCCAAAAATGAATTTTTAAATCTTTTAATCCTGTTCCTCCTCTCTCTCTCAGCTAACAGCATTACCCACAGCCCCACGGTCCAGAGTTAGCCGACTCTCTCTGTGCAGTGGTGCGAATTTGTTTCTTCTGTCCTCTGTACTGCCCACGGATTAGAAGTGGGTCGGAATGTCAGTCTCCTTTTCCGTGGTTCATCACTTGCACTGCTTCCACTCACCCCACTGCTGTAACTGCCCTAACTGTGTCTCCTTACGGTTTCGTTTTGCATTTCTCTAATCACTAGTGATTTAAACATCCTTCTACGTGCTTAATGTCCATTTGTAAATCATCTTTGGAGAAATGTCTTTTCAAGTCCTTTGCTCATTATTTAATTGGGCTGTTTGGTTTTTTTGTTGTTGTTGTTAGGTTGTAGGAGTGTTTTATATATTCTGGCCATTAATCCCTTATCGCATATATGTTTTCCAGATAGTTTCTCTTATTCTGTGGGTTGTTTTGTCACACTCTTGATAGTGTCCTTTGATGCACAAAAGTTTTAAATGTTTTTAAAAATTGATGTATAAATAACACACAATATTCTGTTACTTTCAGTTGTATATCATAGCAATTGATATTTGTATACATTAAAAAATGATCCCCAAAATAAATCTAGTTACCATCTATCACCAAAGTTATCACAATATCATTACTGTATTTCTTGTCTTGTACAGTATATCCCCATGATTTATTTTATAACTAGAAGTTTGTACTTCTTACTTTTTTTTTTATCCTCATCTGAGGACATTTTTTCATTGCTTTTAGAGAGAGGGGAAGGAAGAGAAACATTGATGTGAGAGAAAAGCATCAGTTGTTGCGTCCTGTGCGCATCGGGATCTGGGATCGAACCCACAACCTAGGTATGTGCCCTGACTGGGAATTGAACTCATGACCTTTTAGCATGGGACAATGCTCCAACCAACTGAGCCACACTGGCCAGGGCAAAATTTGAACCTCTTAATCCTCGTCACCTATCCTTCCCACACTCCCAACCCTCCCCACTTTGGTAACCACCAGTTTGTTTCCTGTATCTGTAAGTCTGTTTCTGTTTCGTTTTGTTTATAAGTTTTTAATTTTTTGTTTCTGTGATTTTAGTGTCATATCCAAGAAATCACTGCCAGATTCAACATCATAAAGGTTTTCTCCTGTTTTCTTCTAAGAGTTTTTATCATTTTACTCTTATATTTAGGCCATTATCTATTTTGAGTTCATTTTTGCATGTGGTATAAAGTAAGGGTCCAACTTCATCCTTTTGAACGTAGATATCCAGTTTTCTTGGCACAATTTATTGAAAGCCTGCCCATTCCTCCACTGAACTGTCTTAACACTCTTGTGGAAAATCAGTTGACCACATGTGCAAAGATGCATTTCTGGGCTCTCTGTTCTGTTCCTTTGGGGTTTATACCTGACCTGTGTCAGCACCACACTGTTCAGATTACTATAGCTTTGCGCTGAGTTTTGAAGCCAGGAAATGTGTGTCCTCCAACTTCGTTCTTCTTTTTCAAGATTATTTTGGCTACTAGGGGGTCTCTTGATATTCTAGATAAATTTTAGGGTAGGTTTTTCTACTTCTGCAAAGAACGGCACTGGGATTTTTCCTAGGGATGACACTGAGTCTGTACAGAGTGCTTTGGGTAGCACAGTCATCCTAACAACAGCAAGTCTTTTGAACCATGAATGTGAGGTGTCTCTGCTTGTATTAATGCAGTCTTTAGTCCCTTTCAGCAATATTTTGTAGTTTCCAGTGTATACGATCTTTTTTTAATCTTACGGTCTGAATATAAATTGAAGTAAATAATATAAATTAAGCTTGGAAAAGAAAAGAAACATCATTATTTCAAAGTAGCTTAAAGCAGAGTCAAACACAACGCAGCCTCTCTAGGCTTCCGAAGCGCACTGCCGGGCACACATCTGTCTGTGCTGTCCACAGCGCACCTGGGTGACTGTGATTCTCTGGCTCCTGCCGGTGCTGAGCGTGATCATCACACATGCACACTTGCATGCACATGCGCACACACACACATGGCCCATCTGAAGGATGGAGAGGAATTCCGTCATTTGTAAACAACTATGTAAGAAATAAAAGTGCTTCCTTCCCAACCCAATGGCAGGTGTAACAACTATAAAATGTTTGAGTTTTAATGGTTGATTTTTGACTCAATATCTTTAATTGTTGATTTTGACTTACAGAATATCTTTTGGCTTGATTTTTGGGTCCTTTTTCCCTTTTTGCCTGTTTTTAGGGTTTTTTTGAGACTGTCAAGATCCATTATATATATTTTTTAACTGACTTTAGAGAGAGTGAGAGAAAGGGAGGAAGGAAGAGAGGGGAAGAAGGAGAAGGGGAGAGGGGGAGAGGGGAGAGGGGGAGAGAGATTTGCTGTTCCACTTATTTGTGCATTCATTGGTTGGTACTTGTGCCCTGACCAGGGATCAAACCCACAAACCCGGTGCACTCGGACAGCACTCTAACCAACTGAGCTACCTGGCCAGGGCTCCCATTAGTTGCTTCTTGTTTTTATCTTTAGTGTCATGTTTTATGAATCCTTTCTCATGTTGATGTTATGTGTGTACCTATATTTTCTGATTTCATTTTTATAATTTTCACACTTAATTAAATATCCAAATGTTTCATTCCAAAATTTCAAAACTTTACCCAAGTAAAAGGAATAGTTTAGTGAACCCCCATATGCCAGTCACCCAGTTTCAAGTTATCAACTCATGCCTGATGCTTCATCCTCATCCTCACCAGCTCCCCCTCCAATTATTTTGAAGCAAATCTCAGACATACCACAATGTACCTCTAAAAGTAAGGACGTTTTATCTAAAATATTTGTGCTTATATATTTAATCCATTTTGAGTTTATTTTAGTGTTGAGTGTTTTTCAAATATTTATTTAACTTCTTGAACTAGTTAGTTAGGTAGTTATCCCAGTACCACTTACTGAGTAATTCATGCCATCCATGTCCATTGGTAAGAAACTCGGTCATATAAATTCTCTGATTCTGTTGTCGGAATTTTTGTTCCACAGATCTTTTTCTCTTTCCCTACATCTTGATATTTAGGTTTTCATTTGATGTGACTTTATGTCATGTAAAAGTCAGATTAAAGTTTTTGTTATTAATTAACACAAGAAAAAAAGTAGTGGGAGATTAAGAATATTTACTTAAATAAAAATATTTATTATAAAAACATTTATTTTCTTTTAGAGATCCTTTACTGTGGAGAGTTGTGCTTGGAACTAACAATATAGCTGGGCGTCATCCACACACCAAGATTTTAAAAGTTAAAGCAATCATCATCCATCCAAACTTCGATGTGCAAACTTACATAAATGATATTGCACTCTTTCATTTAAAAAAAGAAGTGAGGTATAATAACTATATTCAGCCTATCTGTCTACCTTTTGATGTCTTCCAAAACCTGGATCAAAACACAAAGTGTTTTATAAGTGGCTGGGGAAGAACACAAGAAGAAGGTAATTATAGTGTGAATTTTATTGATACAATTTTTTTCTGGTTAGTGGAGAGGGTGAATCCTTTTATACATTTCTTTATCTCTTTGTAGTATGAGTTTGGACAGTAGACCTTTATAAGCCAGTGAAAACAAAGTCTTTTTTTTACTTTTTTAAAAATTGAACTTACTGAGATGACATTGGTTAATAAAATTGTGTGGGTTTCAGGTATACAGTTCTACAATACATCATCTGTATATTGTACTGTGTGTTCACCACCCAAGTCAAGTCTCCTTCCATCACCATTTATCCTCTTTTACCTCCTACCTCTCCCCACTTCCTTACCTCTGGCAATCACCACACTGTTGTCTGTGTCCATGAGTCTTTTTTTTTCTGTGCTTAATCCCTTCAACATTCTCACACAGCCCCCAACTCCTTCCCCTCTGACAGCTATCTGTCTATTTTCTGTGTTCATGAGTCTGTCTCCACTTTGTTAGTTGATTTTTTTATTAGATTCCACATGAGTGAAATCATATTGTACTTGTCTTTCTCTGACTGACTTATTTCACTTAGAATAATGCTCTTCAGGTACATCTATGCTGTTGCAAAAGGTAAGATTTCCTTCTTTTTTATAGCTGAGTAGTATTCCATTGTGTAAATGTACCACAGCTTTTTTATCCACTTATTTACTAATGGGCACTTGTGCTGCTTCCAAATCTTGGCTATCGTAAATAATGCTCCGCTGAACATAGGGGTGCTTTCAAATTAGTGTTTTCAGGTTCTTCGGATATATTCCCAGAAGTGGAACTGCTAGGTCATAAGGCAGTGCCATTTTTAATTTTTTGAGGCAACTCCATATTACACTCCACAGTGGCTGTACCAGTCTACATTCCCACCAACAGTGCACAAGGGTTCTTTTTTCTCATATACTTGTCAACACCTGTTGGTGGTTGATTTATTAATGATAGCCATTCTGACAGGTGTGAAGTAATATCTCATTGTGGTTTTATTTTGTATTGCTCTGATGATTAGTGACAATGAACACCCTTTCATATGTCTTATTGGCCATCTGTATGTCCTCTCTGGAAAAGTATGTATTCAGGTCTTTTGCCCATTTCTTAATTGGACTGTTTGGTTTTTTGGTATTGAGTTTTGTAAGTTCCTTATACACTGTAGATATTAAGATCTTATCACATATTTTGGTGAATGTGTTCTCCCATTTCTGTAGGTTGTCTTTTCATTTTGTTGATGGTTTCCTTTGCTGTGCAAAACTTTTTAGTTTGATGTAGTCCATTTGGGGTTTTTTTGTTTCCTTTGCCCAAGGCAATGTATCAGAAAAAGTTCTGCTACAAGAAATGTTCAAGATTTTACTGCCTGTGTTTTATCTAGGATTTTTATGGTTTCAATTCTGATATTTAAGTATTTAATCCATTTTTAGTTTATTCTTGGGTATAGTATAATAGGTGGTCTAGTTTCAATTTTTTGCACATATCTGTCAAATTTTCCCAACATCATTTATTGAATAGACTGTCTTTACCCCATTGTATGTTCTTGCCTCCTCTGTCAAATATTAATTTACTAAAAAGGCATGGGCTTATTTTGGGGCCCTCTGTTTCATTGAGCTTGTCTGTATATTTTTCGTCCTTGTGGGAGAGAGAAACTTATCTTCCAAAGCAGAAACGGAGAACTTTCTGTGGTTGTACATGCCCAAATACCTGAACCTTTCTACATTCTCAGAGAGAATGATGGACCTAAGTGTTTCTGTCATTGCTGAGACTCACAGGTGACAGAGCCACCCATGTGACAGAATTGCTTATCTTAACTTGTAAGATTCTGGGCTTAAGGAATCAAGTAGGCGTCCTTTTCAATTTAATGCCCTACTTAGTATCAAACAGTTTGATTGCCATGCATTTTCTTTAACACAAAGGGGCACTAATTGTTGATTGGCTGAACTAATGGGAGAAATTTTTTAAAATGTAGAAAACAGTCTCTGACTTTGGTAATAACAACAGCTATTATTTGGGAGCATCAACCGCATCTCAGGCTCTGTTCTAAACAGATATTAGCCAAAGAATATATGCCCACATGTACATAGGCCATGGACACAGACAGCAACGCGGGATGGAAGGTGGGGTGAAGGGGGACAGAAGGGAAGAAGGTGGGGGACCTCTGTAATAGTGTCAGCAGTAGTAAATAAATAAATAGCTTTATTGTTCTTATCCTCTCAATATTCCTATTAGGGAATTAATATTATTATCCCCTTTTAATAGATCAAGAACTGTGGATCTTAAAGGTTGAGAAGCTGGGACTCACATCCAGGTGTTTTTGATTCTAAAGCTGGAATATTTAAGTACGGCATTAGGTACAAACTGCTCTTGAGGTACTGAACGCCTAGTCAGCAGTATATGAGATCAAGTACTGAGGCTTTTTCCTGACCCTCACAGAAACCAGCCATTTCAATATTAGTGGGTTATTTAGACAGGACAGAGATAAATGTATGAAAGAGTATGTATTATCGGTTCTTTCCCTCTGTTAATATTGTACTTTCCTTGGAAAGTAGAGAAAACAACATGGTATAGGGAAAAGAGCACTGGCTTTAGAATCACAAACCTAAGTCTGAATCTCAGCCCTGCTATGTACTAACCGAATGGCCACTGGCAATCACTGAATCTTTAACAATGAAAAATGATGGGAGCAATTACTGTTTATCCTGGACAAGCATTTTAATGCATTTCTTTTTTAAAGATTTTATTTATTATTTTTATTATTAGAAAGGAAGAGAAGGAGAAAGAGAGGGAGAAAAACATCAGTGTGTGGTTGCCTCTTGTGCACCCCTTACTGGGGGCCTGGTTTGCTATCTAGGCTTGTGCCCTGACTGGGAATCAAACCGGCGACCCTTTGGTTTGCAGGCCAGCACTCAATCCACTGAGCCATACCAGCCAGTGATGCATTTCCCATTTAACACCCATAACAATACTGTGAGAAATACAATAACATGGATGAATAAACTGAGGTTTAACAAGGTTAACATGGGGGGCACAGACATCTAGGAGCCCACAGGTCCCAAGGCACTGTGGCTGTGCACGTGGCTCAGCTGTGGTTGTGCAGTTGTAGGTCAGACCCCAAACCGAGGACCCATCTGGAAGCAGCTCCCCCACGCAGCCCAGTCAAGAACCATACAGACTTTTGATGAGTGTTTAGTACCTTGTTGGAAGGAAAAACTGGCATTGTCATTGAAAATGATCAATTAGTCAAAATCATGATATGTTAACTGCCGACTTTTCTGTAACCAACTATAATCAAACAGATAAAATCCCTGTATTGACAATACGAGATAGTTCTAAGTATGGTCACCTTGTTAATGAGGATAAATGAAGAATGACCTTTCCCAAACTTTGAAGATAGGATAGAGTTACTTTTGGACTGTTTGAAAGTAAATTCAGAGTGGAGTATGCTCCTTTGGTGTCATGCGCTTCTTATTTAGATGTCTCTGGGAAAACCTCTTTAAATCAAGCCCTAATGCAAGTTGGAGGACTTAACCATAAACAATTGGACAGAAGAATGTACTCACCTTGTCATTGTATCAGTTAAAGCTACCATTAAAACATTAACCTGTGGATATCCAGTTGTAAAGGCAGAATATTTTACTGAATTTCTTAACACACTCTGTCCAAGAAACAGCTTCCACAAATTGGAAGTTTTACCCACCTATGGATGAACCAGCTATTGGAAGTAAAAATGCTGATATGTCAGGGTGACAGGAAAGAAAACATCTTCAAAAGGAAAACATCTGTATTTCTGAATGCCAAGCCCCATAAAAAATTAAGTGGTTGGTTTTGAAGGAGGAAATGCAAGGTTGATAACAGAAGAAAAAGATGATGATAGTTTCTTATCAGCTCCTGAAAATTATGTTGATGTAGGAATAACCAATGCATAGACTTTAATTTCTGACTCTCAGAGAAAACTGATGCACTCAATTATGGATATGCTCCAAAGGCAGGATCTCAGACCTATTTCAAAAGCAGATGTCGGATTGGCAGTTTTTTTCACATAGAAAGAGTTACTGTGATCGTCAGGGCCAGCCCCATGTAGGACGATAAATCTAGCACCAAACCTTTCCATGGTCATCAGTCAGAGAAGCTCATACCAAGTGCCCCAGTGAGCACTACAGCATGTGGCCAATACAGTCCAAGCAAGCAGACACATGTGTGAGTTTGAGTGAAAGACCAAAAGAAATAAAAATCTCAGAACGGAATATTAAGAATGCCTTCACTGGAAACATCCATTGTGAAGGAAATGCCCAAATTAAGCTCTGAATATAATACTATAATATCAAATATTCTGATTAGGATGAAAATTCCAAACTATCAGCTTTCGCCAGCTAAGCTCCCAGGAATAAGTAGGGGTACATAGAGATCAAGCCTCTCAGCAGCTGCAAACTCCATCAGAAACCTGTTTCCTCTGGGACACATGCATATAGTCTATGCAAGGCATTCAACTCAGCAAGTATTCCAATGGCCTGAATTTGTTAAATAAAATGCACAAAACTAAAAAAAAAAAAAAGTTAATATAATAAACTGCCCAAAGTTACACAGCACACTCAGTAAAGAGTCAAAATTCAGGACATCTGCCAAGATGGAGGCATAGGTAGAAACACTGTACCTTCTCGCACAACCAAGTTTAAAGACAACAAAGTTTTAGTAACAAAAATGTAGCCAAAACACAGAAAATTGACCTATACGGAAATACGACACAACGAACCAGTTCAGCCAGACCGGTAAGAGGGGCGGAGCCAGCAGTAGAGCGGGTTCAGGTGGGAAAGATCCTCCGACCCAGGTGCAGGCAGCAGTTGGTGGATCCTAGCGTGGGGCAGCAACAGGTGCACCCAGTGAGTGCGCAAGGCGGCAGGCTGACCGCGGTCAAACATTCACGCACAGATAAACCAGCAAAGGATTGAGCAGTGAGACAGACCTAGCAGGCCCCAGCGGCGGGAAGCAGCAGAGGGGACCACTGTTGCCCCTCTT